ATCAAAAATATTTCACTAAAAAATTTGATTTTTTTATATGTGAAAGACATAATATTAACCAAAAGACTGCCAAATTTTGTGAAGATATACACACTATATTGAAAGTTAGAAGTATTAAATCTATAAAGACTGTAAACGAGTACAAAGAGGTCGTGTGGTCAGTCAGATTGGCCGAGCCTGTGTTTAGAGAGTTAATACTGTAAATTACATAAACCCATATAAACATACATCGTATTAAGTATGTATCTTCCCAAGTACTATCTATTTTACATGTATGTGTATTCTGTTATCATGTACGTCACCAATTTATTGGTAGTTTCACTGATTATGTTGGAGAAACTGTTCCACGTTACAGTCTTGCTCAGAGTTTCCATTTTTTTGTATTTATAACCCTTAAGAATTTTAGTAGCTTTGCTGACTGATTATGTAAAAACCAAAGTAATAGTAATTTGTTCAGTATTAAATGTGATTACAGTAACCCTCTTAAAGGACTAGATCTTGCTGACTGATTATGTTTAAACCAAAGTAATAGTAGGTTTCATTTGTTCAGTATTAAATGTGATTACAGTAACCCTCTTAAAAGACTAGATCTTGCTGACTGATTATGTTTAAACCAAAGTAATAGTAATTTGTTCAGTATTAAATGTGATTACAGTAACCCTCTTAAAAGACTAGATCTTTCTGACTGATTATGTTTAAACCAAAGTAATAGTAATTTGTTCAGTATTAAATGTGATTACAGTAACCCTCTTAAAGGACTAGATTAACTTTATGACTTTGGTCATCTGTATAGGTTCACAAGGGAGTAAAAGGATACGTCCGGTCTCACTATAATGACCCTATTCCTAATGCTGTTATCAAGGTGGAGGGAACAGATCACATGGCTCGTAGTCAAGAAGCTGGGGACTTTTGGCGTCCCTTGGCTGATGGAAAATATGTCATTACTGTAGAGGCCCCTGGCTACGTACCACTTACAAAAGTACGTTATCGGTATTTGCCTTTTGTGTCATTATTACTCTGGATCTTTCCAGTGTTGACTGCAAGAAAAACTCAACATTTTGTTTTTGTTACATGATATTAATAAATAAAGTTCAGTCTATGACACATGTTGAGTCATTTTGGGTTCCATTTACAATAATTTTTCTCATTTCAGATGGAGAACCTACAATAACATAACTGTATTTTATATTAACACATTCCTAAAGACAGACTGCAGAGCTACTAAAAAAAACTGATTACCTTCTCCCCTTCTTTTTGTATCTCCAGATAGTTCAAGTACACCACTACAAAGCTTCAGATGTCACCTTTAAACTCCACAAGAACTCTCAGATAGCAGGTGTTCCTCGATATATCTTTGTAATCGCAATTGGTAAGTAGCATGTGAATACTTGCTGTTGTCCACTCAGCTGTTACACGGGTGAGGCTAATTTTTCAGCTGTTACATGGGTGCAACTAATTTTTCAGCTGTTGCACAGGTGAGGCTAATTTTTCAGCTGTTACATGGGTGCAACTAATT